TATATATATTGCATCATTTGTTTCAGATTCATCAAAGGTTACATAAATAGAGGACAAGCAAAAAGCACAGACAACTCAGAGTATCTGGCCTTTGTGAGGCAAAGTTACTTAAACAGACTGAAAAATAACCTGCCAAAGACTGTTCTGGATAAAACCACCTGGCTAACTCCTCCAGCTGTGCTGACAGAGGTACGTCGACAAAAAGCAATGCAATAACGGCAGGTAAAACTCTGAATGATTTGATTATTTGTATAGACATCAGAGATGCTGCGTAAGCTCCACTACCGATTGATGGTGCGGAAATACGTGAGAGGAATCACACCTCAGAAGAAAGCGCAGGTAAAACACCACGCAAACTGAAAAACTGTTTCACCTTCAGACTAAAGTTCTTATTTTTTAATCTTCTTTTTACAGCTTCAGCTGAAGTTTGTTACAAGCTCTATCTTCAAAGGTAAAAAGGAAAGTTACCCACAGAGCATCGCTCAGCCGTTTCTGAACACAAGAATCAGTAAGTCTCAGAGAAAAATCCCACTGTTGTTTCAGTTTTAAACAATTGTGTTGACGTATTTTAACACCTCTATAGGTGACCAAGAGATAAACATGAGGGTTCTCAGTATGATTCGCAATGAGCAAATCAAGGTAATAAAATAAGATCACTAGTTTCAGCGTCACGTCWAACAGCACTAACTGTGTTATATGTTTCTGTAGTACAGCGTTCCAGTGATTAAATACGACAGGAATGGCTTCAAACCGAGGCCGAGGCAGCTCATCCTCACTCAGACTGCTGCCTATGTGGTGGAGGAGGCCAAAATCAAACAGAGAGTGGTCTACACCTCCCTCAAAGGTCAGACCCAAACAAATGTTAATGTAGTGATCATTAAAAATGTCACTTGGCTGATTATCATTATTATTTTTTTTTTACTTGTCACAGAGATTTCTGTGAGTAACCTAACCGATGGCATCATTGTGTTTCACATAACGCGTGACGACCCTAAACAAAAGGTGGGCCATCATTGAATACAAACATCTCCACACAAGTTACATTCGTTTGTATAGAATTAAAACAATTCTGAGGGGATGGATTTTAAATTATATTTATCACTGAACATTGTTCGGTTTTCAGTTTTTCGGGGGCATTTTGTCTGTTTTGTACAACACACACTACCAAAAGACACAATATACAATTCAAGCCACATTTTTAATCAAAGCTCGGGATGACAAAATACAAGAAAATTTGTTAAGCAGAAAAATMAAAGTGGGGTGCGTCACTCTTGAATTTGCATCCTTAATCAAATTTGATGCAACTAAACAGGGGGGGAGAAGTGACATTTAGTTTATTATTTTCACTCTGGTTGTTTCAGGGAGATCTGATCYTGCAGTGTGACCACTTGTTTGAGTGTCTGACCCAACTTAGCGTCATTGCTAAAAAACAGAGTGCTGTCAATGTGGTTAAGGGAAGGTGAGTTAGAGATCAATTTTAAAGGCCCATTGGCACAGACAACCATCTTAAAAATAACCTTAACGRTATTTTTCAGCATCAAGGTTGAAATCCAGCCAGGAAGAGAGACTGCTGTGGACTTTAGCGCTGGACAGGAGCCAATGGTTTACAAAGCCCAGAACGGACACCTCATGGTGGTGAGTTCAGCTGGGTAACGAAGTAGACGGTCTGACTGAACACCAATATTACAGCCTGAAGGTAATTTACAAAGAGACACATGAATTAGACTGTTTGTCACRGCAGGTCGCCACTCGCATGAGGACACGCTAACGTGTGTGGGGGGCAGAAGAAGAGACGCACAAGTGGCCCCTACATATTTTATTGGCAGACGCTAAGGAGCGGATCGGTCTACAGAACATACACCTGAGACCAGAAACTGCAACCCACAAGACATCCAGGATGAGCTTGCTTTAAAAAACTGTCATTTGAATTAAGAGTTTGATCTAAAGCTCATTTTAGCTTATCATCATGGTGTTTAAACAAAGATTTTCACTCTAGTATCAAATGTAAGGTTGAACCTCAACCTACAAAAGAAAAGTAGAGAAACTCACAAACTGCTTCAACAAGGATCTGATTTCTGGAATAACAAAGCCATATGTATTAGGATTTTGTATTTTCACTGATTGTGAATTAATAAAAAGAAACAAATYATTGTTTATAGAAATTTATTTGTGATAAAGTGTATATAAATATAAAACATTTACTTTTGTACAACAGACCTACAAGTACTGCGACCGTTAGACATTTCAACTCAAACCTATAGTGTGCAAACAGTACAATCTCTGATGAATGCTGGGATGAAGGACCGGTCTAATCTGACTCCATGTTAAGAGCTTGTAGACAGGGTTCCTCTTCCTAGTTCTGAGGATCTCCAATTCCAGTCATTCACTTCAACCTCAGCAGACATCATTCTATCAGCCTGGTACATTTAACACCTAAGGTCACAGATCAAATTCCCTCCACTTACATAAAAGGATTTGTTTAGTGGGGTGAAGAGAAATAAATTATTGGTAAAACTAAAAACAGACCAAGAACTACAGTAAAATGTTCCTTCCTTTGGTGATATTCTAACTACATTAAATGATATTTTAGAGACGTTTAATTGTCAGCAGGCTACAAAAAGACACGGTAATCTAGGAGTACAATATTGCCACAAAGTGGCCGCACTGTGTAAAACACCAGTTTCAGCCACTCGTGATGTTAAAGTGGATCTATAAGAACCACAATGACAAAAAGCTGAAAAGTATAATTTTAAGGTGAACACAAAGGTTTAATGTTATTCTTCTGTATTTCATGATGAGAGCAGGACCCTTCTATAACATATGCTGACAGTCCTCTCTCTCTCCTTCTCTCTAAACGAATTGATTAAACTGGTTGTTGTGCTGAATGCAAACATCCAAGCTTCTGTAGTAGTAATATTGACTTACAAAAAAAACAAAAAACAAAAAAAAAAAAAAACAATACAGCTCAAGCGCTGAACAAATAAAGACCAGAAAAGACAAAAAAAGAAGGAAAAAAAAACACAATCACCTAAATACTCATCTTCCAGTGGTCTCCTAGAAAAGCTGGTAACAGTTGGGAAGGCAAAGAGACAGGAGCTGGGTGTTGTAAGGCACAAGCATGGTGCAGAGACTGGCCAGGGTCAGAGAAACAGGCAGCTGGATCACAGGAGAGAGGTCACTGGTAGTGATGTGTGCGGTCATCAGCTCGTTTGATATGAATCCTTCGAAATCGCTCGATTCGTTCTCGCTCCTCATCCTCATCCAGATGATACGGTCGCCCCTCAGGTGTAACTAGAGGTTCTGGCAGAGCGTTGTCCGGACCCCGATCTTCTTGAGATTCGTACAGAAGGATGTTCAGGGTCTCCTCATAGATTCGTGCCTCAGGGAACTCAACCTACGGGTTTCACAAAAACAGAGATGTACAAAAAAAACTGTAGCTTTTTGCATGAATAAAGAAGAGTGCTGTTTAAAGCACGTGTGCTCTAACTGCATACATACCTTAGTCTGCTTCTTTTCTGTGGCATAAACAATGGAAGTGCAGCACACTTCAGCAATCTTACGGCCCTGGCCATAAAATGACCAACAACAAATCTCATCTCCAATCACATCTTTGATGAACAGTACTCGACCATTGAACCGCAATGACAGCTTGTCAAACAGTTCAATATTTTTTAGCATGTTGTCGTCAGAATTGCTGAATGAGAAAAGAAAAAGATTTATAATAATGTAAAAGTTTATACAATTATTTAGAAATTATAAAATCTATATCAATAAAAAAATCACCTGGTATATGAATATTTGTTGTTGCTTCTGTTACACAGCAGTTTCACAGTTGGCTGTGAAAACAAAACACTATATTACAAAAAAAAAATCTTTGTGGCAAATTTATCTTTACATTATTCACACAAATTAGGCACATTTTATCAGAAAAAAATCAGGATATACCTTATTTGAGGTTGCAATGAGTCTCTGCTCTTCTTTAGATGATGTCATGAGAGGCACTTTGCAAAGAGGTTCATATCTTACTTTGTTCTGAAACAAAGTTTTTTTTTATTTTTTAATAACAAAAAAAGCTTTCAGCTGAAGGAATGTTGAGGTATCTTGGCACATTTGCCAAATAAATTTTTTTACCTGCAAGGCAGCTGAACACTCATCAGCCAGGCCCTGGACAAGATAATACTTGGCTTCGGCGAGAAGCTCCTCAGTCTCCCGGCGGTTGTCTGGTAGTGGGACTGCTCCATCTCTAAGATAGTTGAGAATCGTTCCAAAGTGTTTCCCACAGCGATCAATCAAAATCCAACCTATAAAGATGACACAACAGTTAAGAGCGTAAAAAAAACAACAATTTAGAAGCAGCAATGGAAAACAGTGTTTACAATTTACACAGACATCTCACCTTCACTATCTGTGAGCACCTCCATCCTGCCACTGAACATCGCTTTGAGCATTGTGTCCTGCTTGGTAAGTGTCTGCATTGTAGTGTAATACAGCGCTCCACCCACATTTAATTTCACATACTTGGAGCTGGGGCTGGAGCCTTTGAAAGATGTAGTTCGTGTTGTAGCTGCCGGCACTGCCGAGCTCACCACAGTCTCTCCTGACATCTTTTCCTGGAAGAACACAAAACACAGCAAAATGACATATGGATCCCACAAAAAAGATCCATCTCATGGTACTTCTGTTTAAACTCTGTTACAAATTTTACTGAATAAACCATGGTTATCTGATAAAACACGCTGCACATGATCACACTGAATACACATTTAATCATATTGATGTACATTTTTTTTCTTTCCTCTCACTTGAGATCTGTAGCTCARGATCATTAAGACCACCTCATCAAGACATAGAAACCTTACATACCTTAAAGCCTGTCACAAACACTCGATCTGATAATGATGTACGTCTCTGTTACTTTGTAAGTTGCTTTTGATAACAGTATTTGATGAAACACTAAACAGTTTGATAAATCATACCCACAGTGTCTGACACTACACCCTCAAAATACTCTACAGTGGGTGATAAACAGTAACAGAAAACTTGCTATAAGACTCCTAACAAGATTCACAAGCCTGGTTTTAAAACTTTCTTTACCAAGTGGAGAAGACCATATAGTACTGTGTATGTCCTAACACTAGGATTCAAATTATATTCCGATCTTTAAATCTGTTTGGATCCTCAACAATTTTTAAAATAATTATTTACATATTTATCCTTTACCCAGCGATTTAACTAAATTTTAAGCAGATGAGTAAAGTCTGAAGTACTGTTTGATCWTTGGGGTGTTGCTAACTTATGATTTCGCAGATTGATCACGTGAAAGAGTGTTGAATGAAAATAAAGTTTTACAACGTGTTGGCTACTAAATCAAAAGAAACAACTACCATTGCTATGTTTGAACAAAGTTTGTATATTTTTCTAGCACAAACCCGTAAATAGCATTTCAGTAGCCACACTGGGCCTAGCAAGCTAATTAGCATCAACCATTGTAATCGACAATGTTCTACATCAAATATGGAGTATTACAGCGTAAAGTGCTAAAAATTAACATTTTAGATAATGTCATTTTCATTGTTGTTCATTTGCTTTTTAGTAAAATATGTATATTTACCATAGAACCAAGAGCAAACTCCGTAAACCTCGCTCGCTAACGCCAGCCACCTAACAAACCACTTCCTTCCGCCGATCGCTGCGCAGTTACAAAATGACGTCAACTATTCCTATCGCTTTAAAGAGACAGTTATCAATATTTACTGAATTTTGTAGTGTTTTCCAGTAAAAGTACAATGCAAAACAAATAATTATATAGCACTTTACTTTCACGCAATTCACGAAACACAGCAACGAGAAAAACACTTTTAATTTCTTTAGAGTGAGCATTTCCGCTGATGGAGTAACAGTGAAATCGGTCCCCTCTTTCACCGCCCACCCATTGGCGTGCCCACCCAGCACGTTAAAAGGAACTTATATTTGACACGAACGCCCCTCAAAATTCACTCGTTATTACACAAAACATCGGTCATTTTACTAGCCTCAGTCTTTCCATTAGTATGAAATTTGATATCACAACCTGTTCGTGAACATTAATGTTACCCGGAATCATTTAATGCGACACGGGATTAATGGCTGCAGTCAATGTTGGCATCTCATCTCATTGTTTACATTTCAAAGCGGTATGTTTCCTGCGTTAGAAATACTGACATCGAAACGGGATTAAACATCACCCCAATATGATGCTAAATATCTAAAAATGTATGTAAAATATTAACATATAGTCTGCATCAAGCCGACAAGTTGCGAACTAGTCCTGAGCTAACAATCGCTGCTTGCTTTATCTTCTGTGTCGTTATTTGCTTTACAAGATGCCGAGTTAGTCCTTTTATTATTTCTCCTTCCTCCTGTGGGGATGTCACGGAAAGACAAATGGTTATGAAAGTATAGTGTCAGGTGAGCCAATAGGCCAGACAATCTTCCCGTCTGTGTCACAGGTAAGTTCACACAGATTCAAAATAAAACAACTGTATCTGAGATGTAAATAGAGCATATATTGGCTGGGATGCTACTTTGTATGTCATCTATTCCGCTGTGTAGATTACTGAAGCCCCGAGTGGTCTGCCTTGTTTTCTCCCCCACCTCTAGGGTAAACAATGTTTAGTGTCCCTCAAAGCTCCAAGTCCGAGTTCCTGGACAAAGCCAGACAGGCCAGAGAAGAAAGAAAGGGACAAAAAGAGAAGGAGAAAGCTGCAACCACCATTCAAGCTCTGGTCAGGAGGTTCATTTGTCGCTGCAGGCTCCAGAGAGAAATAAGGTGAAGAGTTCTTCTTTTTTTCCCCTATAAGTGAATCAAGTAAAATGTTTCTTAWTTTCACATTGATGTAATTGTTTGCTTTTGTCTTTCTCTGTATTTCCAGGAAAGAGGTTGATGACTATTTTCAAGCCAATGAAACTGGAACAACCAAGAGGAATGCGCTCTCCATTTTCAAAATTGCTCGGAAATTACTGTTTATATACGGCCAAGATGATAAGACGGTGAGTTCCTCTCTGTTTGAACATTGATTAGCACACATGAAATACAAGTAGGGTTGAAGTGATATACATATTATATAAAAATAACCGGTTATTATTAATATATAATATCTCATCATCTGCATGTGGGCTTGTTTTTGTATTTGTCACAACTATTAAGATTTGTGAACAGTTTCAATTATGTCAAATGAATTAATTCATTCAATCAATAAACATCCTTTTTTTAAATTGTAAATTGAAATTTTAATCATAATATTAATAATGAAACTTAGATGTTGTCGTAAAATTAAAAAAAATGTTCCTGTTTCACTCCTAAGTACAAATATCTTCAGATTTAAACTGTTRTTGAAAAATGCTAGTGTAGATTCATACTGTTTTTGATAGGCTCTTAGTTTTTTTAAAATACAAAATTAGTAAGTTGTCCATGACTGTGTGACTCAAAATAACTATAACTGTAATTTTTAGAGATTTGAGAAGCTCTGTCGTGCTATTCTGGCCAGCATGGAGGTGGAAAATGAACCTAAAGTAAGTGTGTTTGTGTCGATACCTTCCACACAACAAACATTTTATTTCCATCTTTTTCTCAGTGAATGTTTTTAAATCTGGTCCTCAGGTCTGGTACGTTTCATTGGCTCTTTCCAAAGACCTCACCATTCCCTGGCTCAAACAGATCAAAGATGTGTTGTGGACCTGCTGTCAACTTCTGAAAAAATTAAAGGTCAGTCCTAATGAGGTGTTGGAAATAGGTCCTGATTAAAATGTTATTGTTGTATTTTGTACATCATACTGTGGTGTTTGGGATTTATTTAGCCAGACATACTTCAAGACAACAAGTTAGTTACGCTCTACCTCACCATGCTGGTGACCTTCACCGATACGTCAACGTGGCGGATTATCAGAGGGAAAGGTGAGTCTTGAGTATAAACACATCCATTGTTGTTGCAGGACATGCCTTTTTCATAGAGACACATAATAGAGCCACATCGTTTACCATAAATGTCACAGGTGAAGCTCTCAGACCTGCTTTGACGAGGATTTGTGAAAACATCATGGGCCACCTCAATCAAAAGGGATTCTATTCCATATTGCAGGTTGACCATAACACCTCATATTTATACATTTTTTTAAATCAAGAAGTAATAAGAAGTGGCTTTTGTTCTTCTGCACTTTCATTTAAAATGAGCCTTTAAATTATATAAATATATGTGAACATTTATTATGTTTAGATTTTGCTGACCAATGGCTTGGCTCGTACTAAACCATCCCTCTCCAAAGGCACTCTGACAGCCATCTTTACTTTGTCCCTGAGGTACGTTCCAGAGCTACTCAAGTGGAGGAACCATGAAAATATGTTGTTATATCTATTTATATGGTTATTTCCAGACTTATTTTAATCTAAACCTGATATTTTTTTAGACCAGTCATCGCTGCTCACTTCTCAGACAACCTGCTAAGACCATTCCTCATCCACATCATGTCAGTTCCTGCCATTGTGTACCACCTTAATGTTCTGACTCCAGAGGTAAAAGCCCTTTGCTTTGCTTTGTGTTCTGGTTATGCTGCAGAGAGACTGCATGTATTAATCTGAAATGTTGGCACTGCTGTCTGCTTTGATCCAACAGTGCATGGCATCCATTCAGACGCATGAACTGCTGCGGAAGTTCATTTTGTTTCTCAATCGGGAGGAACAGTGTCTGGACATTTGTGTGTGTCTTGAGGGCAGCCACACACTGTGCTTACTTGGTATAGTATATTGGTTGAATAATACTAATGTCTGTACTTTCAGATAAGGAAATGCAGATGTGGATTGTTAACTGACTGCATCCGTCTCTTTGACAGGCAACCTGATTTACTTGGGTTACCTCAATGAGAAAGTCACAGAGGAGGAGGCCAACCATTTTGTGAAGGACCTGACTGACATGCTMTCGTACTGCCAGAGATACGTTTCACAGAAGAAATCCAACCTAACCCACTGGCATCCCGTCCTGGGCTGGTTCTCGCAAACTGTAGACTACGGGTCAGTGGAAATACTTAAAATATGATTAAATGAATTAAGTTTACCTGTAAATGTCAAGCATACAAATATGARCTGACTGATAAATAATTATAATAATAATTAATAATAATTATCATACAAAGGTGATCTGGTAGACTTAGGCTGGAAACATACTCACTCGGCAGTTCGGAGCGAGTATGTTTCCAGCTTAATTCTGCCTGGTCCTTAATGAGGAAATAAAACATTGTCTAAAAAAGAAAAAAAAAAGGGGGGGGGGTTCAATAACCATGTCCTTTGAAATAGGAATTGTAAAAGTCATGTAAAGATCTATTTTGCAGCCTCGGCAATGAATAAAAATGTTATGTTCTATTCTCTTTGCTCTCTCTCTCTCTCTCTCTCT